GGCCGACGGAATCCGCTAAGATAAGCAAACGAATTGAATCAGCAGAGGAACCTGCAAGCGTGCAAGTCACCTCATGCTGGCATGCCGCTCTGTTGCATGGAACACAACGTGGTGCAACAAAGCAAAACATGATCGACTGTGACGATTGAAAATCAAGGGTGGGTCCAGGATTTCCTCCGGCCAAGAGCCAATGGAATGGGGGCAGCAAGTTGTCTGCCTACCAGGGGCGACAAAACGTACGAAGTTGGGGTGCCTAAAAAGATCGAAGGCAACGTCCGCAAGGGCCTCGTCTAAGAGATTTTCACTGGGGGGGGGGGGGGCAGAGACTCAAGGAGCCAAACCTAGGGTACCCCCCCAAATCCTGTTTTCTCACCGGATATAGGCCACTCATTTTTCATCTCAGCCCTAAAACCCGATGAGCTATTTTTTTAACTTAACCCTCGCCCTGGCAGGGCATTTTTCATAACACGGCCTGGCAGGGGGGGGGAGGGTCGATGCGACCCCCCCCCCTCGCGATTGGCTCCTATGGCACCTAGAAACACCAAATTTGGTAGGTAGGTGGACCCCCTGGAGTTCTCGCCCCTGTGCAAATTTGGTTGCTCTAGGTCAATATTTAGGGGGGTTTTGGGGGGTATAAATGTAAAAATTTCGCTAAAAACAGGCCAAAAGTTTTTCGCCTATAACTTTTGATCTAATTAAGATAGAGCAAAAAGAAAAGCACCGGTGAACTCAGCACGTCAAGGCGCGTCGAATGGTATACTTTTTTAGCTTGCTTAAGTGTACTTAAAGTTTTTCTTAAATTTGAAGTAAACTTAAATTAATAACTTAAGTTCAAGTTAACCAAATTGCATCATATCGCATATCATTCGATTCGGCTGATCACCAGGAACACAATGATACCATTTTTTAAGCTCTAGCGTCATTATGTGCCAAGTTATGGGCAAAAACGTCATTTGACCTTAGTTGACCTCATTTGACCTGACCCATGGATAAGTACACCACACAAAGAAGTACCAAGTGACCTGCTGTTAAGTACTGTGGTTTGAAAGCACAAAAGTGATAGAACGAAGCGGATATCCTCAGTATTTTCCGAATTTAGTATTTTCCCATAGGCTTAACATTACGACGTAATGACCTCTAACTGACCTCAGGTCAGTGACCTCAAAAAACCCGAACTATATGTTATACAACTCGGTGAACTTAGCACATCCTGAAAGTTTGAAGGAAATCAGTCCAAAACTGTGAGTTGGACAGCTGCAAACAGAAAATTGAAATTTGACCATGACCTTGTACCGGTTTTTCTGACCTGGTGACCTGACCCAAGGTCACCCGGACCTGAAATTTTCAGATCATATGTAAAAAGGTTGCCCCATAGGCTGTGCCAAATTTGGCGGCGCTGCGCGCCGCCGTTTTTACGCTATCTTCGAAAAACCTTAGGGGGGGTCGCATCGACCCCCCCTCCCTGCCAGGGCGAGGGTTAATAAATTTGAAATAGTAGGCCATCCGACCCATGCCCTTGCATTAGTTTATAACGCCCTCACATTGTCCCACCAGACAGTACAAAGAATAAAACCGTAGTTTTTGGACCCGCTACACCTTTTCTTTTAAAGGGACTATCCCACCTTCTAAAATGTTGTTAAAACCAGTTAAATTGTGCCCGACTTTATAGATTAGATGACCAGGAACACGGTTCTGGCATTTATTTTTCATTAAACATCTTAGGCTTCCCATATTCCAAACACAAACTTTCAAATATGTGACGTCACAGCCCAAAATTACCTCCTTCCCCAGGCCACATTACTGTCATAAAGATTCTTTTTACTCTGTACGCACCACAACAAAGTTCAGACCAAGTTTTAAGCGATTTTTCAACGAACAAACCCATTTAAATCAGAATGACTAAACGAGGTGACGTCACACCAACGGTCGCTCCATGTTGAAGATAGGGCCTTGTACAAGACCCATTTTCAAATGAAAGGAACGAATTTCTTCAACCTCAAGAGGCTGCGGGGGTTGAAACCTAGATAGATAGTGGTTTCTGAACCTCGCCGCAAACTTGGCTATCTCAACTCAAACCCCATGTTAAAGGTGGGATAGTCCCTTTAAGTCGGTCATTTTTTACGATTTCAGCCTATCATGAATGCTTTGCTCAGTTTGCTGTTCATCGTAGTTCAAATTTAACGACTTATTTCCGTTTATCTGTAAGAATCTTGCTCCTGTTATGGCTAAAAGGAAGCCATCACTTATTTCTATGCGCTTCTGCTCCTCTGTTCGTGCAAGGTAGAGTTAAAACGTTGAAATCAAATATTTTCTTAGAATATTTGAGCGAAATGGACAATTGATGCCCTCGAATGACCTGAACATTGAACTTACCTATCTTAGCAATTTATTACGAACGCATTTTTTTGCGAGCCACATCGGTTTCTAATGGGCCCCGCCGGCTTATCAGCGTCAGGTGACGAGCTCTCAGTGGGCGGCGGAACACCTTCAATTAAGGGGGGGGGGGAGGGGCACTGCCAACTTTTGGTCCCATTTTTTTTTCATGCAACGCCCATAGGGCTAATGTAAAAATGTCCAAACCAAAGTGGGGCACAGTGCCCCGGTGCCCCCACCGTTCCGCCGTCTATGCAAGCTTTGATGGCCAATGTCAGTCTCTAGACCCACGTCGGCCTTTGGTAGCCCACACTAGTCTTTCCCTGGCCCAGAGACAGACCACCAAGCTGAGCTTACGATAACTCAGAATGGGAGCCTGCTTCATTACGATTAGGAGCTACTCTCGCCGCACACCGGTGACCGTCCAGCCAGAAGTTCGACGTCGCGTAGTGAGGACGACGATAGGTGGAAACAACAGATTGATGTCCCGAGGACAGAAACAACAGACTGATACGTGAAGGATATGCGGGACACGGAATTAGGTCTGTCAAATTTGTCGAAGGAAAACAAATTTCATTAACCTCGGGGTCACCGATGACGTCAGAGGTCAGGTCAAAGATAAAATGTTTCACCGTTCACGGGTCTTCTAGGGAAAGCGCTATGACACCGAGGAAAACGCATTTTGTCGAAAATCAGCGATAGGGCGTCAGTTGTCTAGTACATGTGTTGCTATTAGAGGTCACTGGTCATATCAGGTCAGGTCACAGGTCAGGTCACCAAGGGTCACCAAGGGTCACCACATGAACCCAACTTTACTAAGGTTGTGCGATGCATGTTTTATGGCCAATTTTTCATTTCCAACTCAATGGTGTTGGTTATGAGACCATCAGGTACAGTTTAGGTCACTTTCTGGTGGAGGTCAGGTCAAGGTCAGGTCAAAAAAGGTCAAAGTTTAAAGTTGATAGTTTTGCATAAAATGGGTATTGATTCGATGCAGCTCGTCACGGGGAATCTAATAGTGGTCTTTGTTTTGCGCTACGAGGTCTAGAATTGCTAAAAATTGAGTTTGAAAATTTGACGTCATCAATTTTGAACAGTTTTTCGCTATAACTTGGCCAAAAAAGAGGTATCGATCTCAAATTTAGTATGTAGATAGAAATCGGTAGGGACTATCACATAGGTACCTATCTTCCGTTTTTTTTTTCGAAATTCAAAAACTTTTGGGATTTTTCGGCTATTATATTCAAAAAATCTATTTTTTGATTTTGGGGGCTCAAAATCCGAAAATTTCAAAAATCCGCGAAAGCAGTTTTGTGGCCGTCTAAATTCTACACCTTTTATGTCTTATACATTTTTCTGTATCTCTAAAGCTGTAGGCCTGACAGCTCTTCTCGCGAAACCTTTTTTGGGTCGAAAATGGCAGAAATGACGTAACTCTGACGTCATTAGCGTCCAACCTATCACAGCCTTTGGAAATTTTTTGGTCAAAATGTGCAATAGCTATTCACGGGAGGGTACTGAAAGTTTGGTGACGATCGGCTCAGCGGTTCTCGAGATATATCGAAAAAACTAAGGGGGAAATGCCCCCCCCCCGCCTGGAAGGTTAAATGTAAAATGTTACCTATTTCAGAATTTTTCGAGAAATAAAACTGTCGCAAAACTCTGAACCATTTGAGCCATAGCGCCGCAAAAAAGCGCATTCGATAGCCCTTTTAACGCTCTTTCTGGCGTGCGTCCTGACCTCAGGTTTGACCTCTGGTCAACGGTTTAGCCTCAGAAGTCGAATTAAATCTGGTCGATTCGTTAGTCATATATATTGTCTGCTATCAGCAACGAAAGAGCGGTTTTCGGTAGATACCAATTATGCATTTAGCGAAGCTTCAGATGCAATCATTGTTATACACGCACCGTCGTCGCTCTACAAATCCATATCCGCGTTATTGCACGAGACACGTGTGCCGCCCGACTCCATTCATGGCCCGCTGCAGCGCAAGTTTCCCTGTTCATAGTCCTAGGTGGACTAGAAACGGTCCGTTTCTGACTGCCGGCCGGACTTCCCTTTGTGACGGCCTCTGCCTGTGTCAGTGTCGGGTCACCGCTATCCCGCGGCACGGACTCGTACACGGATGTGCGACCATTCAATTGGCTCTGACCCGAACCGGAGCCAGTGACCCCTGGCGTGTGCCCGCCGCTCGTAGACGGATACCTCTGCAGGCGACCAGCCCTCTGGAAGGCCCAGGTCCGGCACCGCTCCCCAAGTCCCGTGACGAAATAGAAAACCGAGTACAAAAGGAGGCTGTTGTCCAATTAGGACTCGGCAGACTCGCGGAATATTTGGAAAGAACTGTCGTGAATGGCAACTCATCAGACCGCTGAAGAAAGCGTTTCAAATACTTTTTTTTTTAAATTCAAGTGCTAAATAAAGGAAAGGTTTTGATAGGTAATATGGCAGAAGTCCTGTAAATTTCATGGCCATTCACTTGATATCTTGCGATCTGCTAACGTTGCCATAAAATTCCTTGACGTCTTTCTCTCGTCATAGGCTGAATTTTACGTTATCAATATTTTTCGACTTTTTCGACAGAATGACGGGCAGATGCACAAGTTTGCTTTCAAGCTCAATCCTGTTTTGGCGTGACATCATTGTATTTGACTAGAGTGGCAACAGTTGCACAACCGATGACTCACATTCCCCAGGCTTATTGCACGATAAATACTAGAAATTGGGATGACGTGAGGATCGCGATCGCTAGGCATTTACAGTCTACACCTAGAGGTGTTGGCTTTCAGCCACGTGCGAAACAGCAAGGCACACAATTTACCATGACAAAGAGCGGGACAACTAGGCACTGTATCGTGGATGACACATAGTACATACATCGCAATCGAATCAAAATCCACGACCGCCCTGGAGGTCTGGTGGTAATTGAATACCTACGTCCCAAGTTACATGTCATCCCAGAAGTTTCACAGACCTGAGATTCGTAATACGCCGTTTGTAAATTCATCATAGCTTATGCACGCGTTTGCAAAGGCACATAGTCACATTCGTCACCTGTGCCATATACACACAAGGGTGTTTCAAGCTTCACATACCTACATTCCGAAGTCACAGCACATCCAAACAGGAAACGACTATCGGCGGACGCAAGTGAAGCTACACTGGGCCATTCCAAACGAACTACACTCGGGTAAACGACCGATTGACTAGCGTACCCAATGCCCCGAGCCGGATCACACTCACGACTCACGTCACGGCTCTGTTCGAGCGTTTAGTCTGTGTAACCACCCGTGACGTCATTACTACGGCATGACGTCACTTCCTTCAGACCGCACGCTGCACTCAGCGCGTCCGGTGAGTCAGTGACTGCGAGTCGCGCCGACAGATGGCCACGAGCATCGCACGGCCGCGCCATCTGTCAGCAGCATTAGCTGTGTCCCGCAGTCTTACCGCCAGGTGTCGGGCGTGCTGTACATCGGCCCTCTTCTCTGATGCGGTGCAAGCAAGCACACTTTTCCTCGATGAATTGAAAGCACAAGGTCGTTTTTAGCTGCAGTGCCTAAGAATCCAACCAATTAACATCACCGTGTTCAATGTTCATCATCGTCTTCCGCCACTGCTCCCGGCCACCTAGCGGCGGTGACGGCCGTACAGCAAGTGCTCCCGCAGCAGCAGCGCCCCCAGCAGGAAGCACGTGAAGGAAAGGGACACCACCAGACCCCAGAGCACGGTCCGCGGCAGCACGATCATACGCCGGGTGGAGGTCCGCAGAACCACCGGCGCAGGGGGAGTGCTGGGGGCAGCAGACGGTCGAAACAGCTCCGGTCGGAGCTCCTGTTCACTGTGGCGACGCTTCCTTTTCCAGATACCGTCCATGGCAGCTGTGGGTAGGAGCCGGCTGTCAGAGGTGGGGCTGAAAGAGGAAGAAATATCAGTGACCCACCTAAGAGGCCAGGAAAAGAGAAAAGAGATGAAAATGGGAAGAGAGAGAGAGAGAAAGAGAGAGAGAGAGAGAGAGAGAGAGAGAGAGAGAGAGAGAGACAGAGAGAGAGAGACAGAGAGACAGAGAGACAGAGAGACAGAGAGAGAGAGAGAGAGAGAGAGAGAGAGAGAGAGAGAGAGAGAGAGAGAGAGAGAGAGAGAGAGAGAGAGAGAGAGAGAGAGAGAGAGAGAGAGAGAGAGAGAGAGAGAGAGAGAGAGAGAGAGAGAGAGAGAGAGAGAGAGAGAGAGAGAGAGAGAGAGAGAGAGAGAGAGAGAGAGAGAGAGAGAGAGAGAGAGAGAGAGAGAGAGAGAGAGAGAGAGAGAGAGAGAGAGAGAGAGAGAGAGAGAGAGAGAGAGAGAGAGAGAGAGAGAGAGAGAGAGAGAGAGAGAGAGAGAGAGAGAGAGAGAGAGAGAGAGAGAGAGAGAGAGAGAGAGAGAGAGAGAGAGAGAGAGGAGAGAGAGAGAGAGAGAGAGAGAGAGAGAGAGAGAGAGAGAGAGAGAGAGAGAGAGAGAGAGAGAGAGAGAGAGAGAGAGAGAGAGAGAGAGAGAGAGAGAGAGAGAGAGAGAGAGAGAGAAATACCTATGGACACTGAATAGGTACCAATATTGAGCTAATGCCAGCCTATTCATCAGACTTCATTCAACTTCAAGAAAGTTGAGCTATACAACAACAACTATTTACTATGATATTGTCAGCAGCATAAAATGATCAGTTGAGTTTAGATACTAGAGTCTAGTAATGCTGTGAATGAAAAATAATCAAAACTAAAATGCAATCAAAATCCTTGAATACCAAAGAGCACTTTCTTTACAAGCATCATTTTGATTTCAAAGATATTGAAATGCTAATGGTAAAACAAAAACACAACCACGGGCATATTGACCACTTGCACTGCAGGATGCGTAGGCGTACATGGCTTAATTGTATATTCACCCAGGTGGGTGACGGTTGCATTCACCACGGCCGTTTTCTCTTGTATATTTCTGTTTCTATCTAAACTCCCTGCCCCTGAAGACTAGAAAAGAAACCAAAACCCTTTACAAAAACGCATTATGCCCTTTATTTTGTAATAACTGCGTTATATTTGTACAAAAAAAAACTCGACAAAAAAATGAAGACAAATGTTTTCTATGAAATACATAAGTATACCCTTATTTCATTCAACTGTGGTTTTATTTTTCTTTTGATTGAAATATAGTCAACTGATTAGTTATTGCATAGTCATTGGTAATCGCTTCATATTACTCCTGAAAATGTTTCGTCTTTGGCGCAGAAAAGACATTCATTATCAAGTTGCTCAGTGTTCTGCTGTTGCTGCTGCAAGCTGCTTGAACTGTATTTTGTAAATATTGATGAATCAGAGGACGGATTGAGTTCGTCAGAAGCCATCAGCATATTGATATACAATTTGAGAAGACGTTTCCACACCTCGTTGCGACGGGTGAGTATTGAAGCATCCAAGAGCGCAGCATCCAAGGGACGCAACATCCAAAACCTTAGCATCCAGCGATCAAAACGTCCAAATAACATCCAAAACCGACCCCTTAGGGATGATTCAGAGCATCCAAGAGCGAAACATCCAAAACTGCAACATCCAGGACCACAGCATCCAAAATCGTATCATCCAAATTGGCAGCAACCAAGGACGAGGAATTGCAGCATCCAAGAGTGAAACATCCAAGGGTGCAGCATCCAAAACCGTATCATCCAAAAAACATTTTTGGCACCGCAGCATCCAAGACCGTATCATCCAAAATAGTGACATCTGTTGTACAAGCTGTAAACTATTAGTTCAATGGCTGTCCGATAGGTGGTGGCACGTACGGTTCATAAGTGACGGAATTGTATGACATCACTGAGTCTCTATACAGTGGCATCCCTATAATGACCTTACATCCTCAAGACGGAGGTGCGTAGCTGCTGGTAGCGACATCGCTGCGATACCACTACAAACCTGACATATGACATGAAGACGCATTGCAGCGTATCCAAGCGCGGCACGTATGTAGGTAGGCTGAGCCGCTGAAGTGTCGATAATGGAGACCGATACCGAAAGTGGGTTTATTAATTGCCCTTTGTTTTCACACCAGAAGTGCCTAATAAGTCGTGAAGTATCCACTATCCCCGTAACCAAGCCTCCGCAAGGATCTTCTCTCACCGTCAGATCGCGCTTATCATCGTCAGCTCCTCCCGTTCCTTCACAGTTAACCTTTTTCCTGTCCTATGTGATATATTCCATGTTCCAGAGGGCAAAAAATATAAAAATAGCCGTTTATACCAGGGGTGCGGAGCCGGAGCCGGAGCAGCCGGAGCCGGCATATTTTGCCCAGAACCGGAGCCGGAGCCGTAAAACAATATAGCCCGGAGCCGGAACCGGAGCCGGAGCCGTCAAAAAAGGGGGTGACTCCGGCTCTTTTTTTAAGAAGAAAAAATTATTGACCTAGTTCGGTTTGACAGTACAAGGCCATGTGGTATTCACTATTCAAATTAGCCCTGTTATGCAAATACAGAGGCAACGTGTACCAATCCAATTTCAATCGCCCTTTCTCTGCCACCCGTAGGTATTTAATTAATCGCATAGGGGATGTAGGTACCTACTGAGAAGGAGCCGGAGCCGCCGGAGCCGGACCATTTTACTCGGAGCCGGAGCCGGAGCCGGACCGTCTGAAATTTCCACGGCTCCGCATCCCTGGTTTATACGAAAAAAGTTTTAGGTAACAGATTTTGACTGAAGGGAGCCACGACATTACTTTTACCAGCAACGTGTTCCCCTCGTCGAGTCGCGTCGAATGAAATTCGGACTTCTAAGGTCATTTGGAAAATTTGACCTCGGGTCAGGGCATGGCCTGACCGGAAAGGGTCATGCTGCATATCAGTTGATCCGTATCGCCGAGTTGAGCACATCTGACATGTTTTTACCGCTCTAGCACGTCTGTCGTCTCTTATACAGGGTGTCCACAAAAAACGGATACTATTATTTTTTGCTGTACTTTCGAAAATAAATACCTTACATTTTAAAATGGCACATGCTTGCATTCGCAAAAATATGGCAAAACAGACAGCAGGTGCCACATGGCATGTTAACTCTTTGGTTAGTCACGGCAGCTCCTCAAAGCAGATACTCAATGAGAGCGGCCTTACGGCGGTCAGCTCCAGCACTAGCACGGTCTGCAGGTGACTGTTGGTCATGTTGACCATCTCGGCGGGCAGGCAAACAACTTTCCAACGACGAATTACAGTGCTCATGAGTTTTGCCAAATCTTGCTCTATAAGCACATGAAGTTGGAACGAAATCGGCACGTGCGTTAATGAATGCGACTTAATTTCCGTAGTATCTTTTTTTTCTGGACACCCTGTATCAATTCAAAAGAAATAGTTTAAAAAAAACTGCTGGTGACCCTTCATGACCTGAGATAACCTCAGGGTCACACAAAGGGGTAACGGGTGCAATATTCGGGTGTGTCATGTTTTCAAATAAACCGATGTTTGAGAGTGTTTATAGATAGCATGGGCGTCGAAAGCGGGGGGACGGGGGACGCCCCCCCCCCCGCCGGCAGTCGATGAATCCGGGGGGGACGTCCCCTAAAAAAAATCGGCCATAAAGGATTTCAAAAGTGACTATTTGCAACGGTCATTCAATATGGAGTCATGTAAACAGAAATAAACCATTTTTAAAAGAATACCTACTGATGCTGGTCAGTTCGACGGTACAACTGAGAACTCAGACACTTCAGCGGCTCAGGTACAGCCCACCGCTAAAGTAATGTAGGGTTTTACCAATCTCAACGGTTGGCTTTGACTGGCGATTGTTTAATGCGGAGTGATCGAAAAGAAGATGTCAATAGCTAAAGTTGCAGCTGCAAGGGTGACGATACATATACCTAAGCTACATTCAAAGTTTCATTGTAGTCTGGCTAATCGTTCCTAAGCTTCATAAGCAGAACATACTCATGACTGAAACCCCACATTACTTCTGCTGTGGACTGTACACCCACCAAAGGCTGAAGTTCGGTCCTCTGGGTGGGGTGACAGCTGCATAAGCCACACATTCGAATATTCACAATACTCAAGCACTTCTAAACGGCCATCCTCCCGTGCTAGGCAAAACGACAGCCGAAGGGGCTCACCAGTTCACCATGACCTTAGAGTACCTGATGCTGGTGTGAGAGGTCAGAGGACCTCGCCACGGTCTGGGATTTTTTTTTTATTGGTTTAGGACTTTTCGGTCTGACGAGACCATTTCAGAGCCGGAAGGAGATGGGAATTAGGGGGAGGGCGAGGGGGGACATTTGGTCTGGGCGAGCACCCTGATGAGTCGACGAGGCTGAGCCCGTCCAGAGGGGCAGGCCGACCAGCACCCCAAGCACACACCAGTCACCGCACGGCGCACCCGGTTACGGTCGTGCTCTTATCGGGGGTTCCCGCATGGGATAAAGTTGCCCGTCCAGCCCGGAACAAGGAGTTGAGGCGTGGAGGAGAGGGATTTGACTGTCCTGAGGATAGAAATGACGGAACGGTGTGTGGTATGAGAGGGTCCAGGAGGTTTGAATACTCAGTGTGGGCCTATATTGGTCTGACCTCTTTACTGATACAACCACCGTCCACCAGTCACACTCACAACGGTCAACAGAACCTACAGCTCTTATCCCACCTGCCCACGATCGGCTAAAACGGCTTCATAAATTTCGACTAACCAGTTAAGAGCAATGAGCATGACTTCAAGCCAGAGAATGTCGACTCTGACTTCGGAGTCGAAGTACAAACGACTTCGGTGACTCCAGCTCCGACTCTGGCCAGAGCTGTCAAGTCAAGCTGACGAGCTGTCAAGCTCCGGCTCCGATCCCGCAGTCCTGCACTTGCACTACACAAAATTACAAACTTCTAGGAAATAAGTTATACGGTTAAAGGACCACATTTTTTTAGAGGGCTATTTGACTTTGTGACCAGACCTTAGTTAAGTGTTAAGGAGCGGACCTTAGTTAAGGAGCGGGTTGGATGCCATGCCACATTTCGAGTCGGGAGACGTCACTGCAGACTTCGAAACTCCAAAATGACTTTATTAAGCGGATTGATAAACTATGGATATCTATGGAGAAAATCCGGGAACAGCTCAAGCCAGTAGCGGCGGAACACCTTCAATTAAGGGGGGGGGGGTGGGCACTGCCGACTTTAGGTCCCATTCTTTCCATGCGTCGCCTATAGGGCTCATGTTAAAATGCCAAAATCAAAAGGGGACACGGTGCCCCGGTGCCCTCCCCGTTCCGCCGCCTATGGCTCAAGCGGCCACAATAAGCGGCTGGATTTATTATTCGAGGATTTATTAAGCAGATTCCACTGTACAGCATTAAAAAAATAAGTCCACTGCAGGCCTACGTTGCTAATGGGTAGGTACATCGAATAGTGACTATTTGCTTAGTTTTGATATGGCCCGAGTTTTGATATGGCCGTGAGGAAAACATTGGGTTCTAATACCGCCCGGTCGGTATTAGAACTGCCCTACCGGCCGATTACCTACTGACCGGCCCGAATTTATACAGGCCGGCCTTACGGTCATTATTGATACGGGCCGGGCAGCATTAATACGGGCCGAGTTTTCAAACGGACCGTAACGTTAAACATACCAAGTGTTTAGTGTTCTACAAAAAGCAAGACTGTAGAGCTTTTGCGTGTAGATCTTTTGCGCTGATGTTGATATTTTATTATACAGAATAATTATATTTTTAAAAACACTTTGGATTATGGGGCTGCGGATTCCGGCGAGGGGGGGGGGGAGGCAGGGCATGTGCAATTGCAGACGTTGAAAATCCCAAGGTGTGCAAACTGCAAACACTAATTTTTGCACATCCACATTTCATTGCGGGCTCATGCGGGCTAATAAGGGCTCTCACAGGCGCTTGCTTGTCTCAGCCCGATGCTCGAGGGCCCCAGCCCGAGCCTGATGGCCCCGCACCGGAACTTTAAGTCCTAAACAGGTACAGTCCACAGCAGAAGTAATGTGTGGTTTCAGTCATGGGTATGTTCTGCTTCTGAAGCCTAGGAACGATTAGCCAGACTGCAACGAGACTTTAAATGTAGCT